TTTTTCTTCCCAAACTCTTGGCAAAGGGCTCATCAGGATTCTACTTAATATAGAAATGGTAATTTACACCAGTTCCAAATAATTTATTCTGGCACATCTAATGTCTGTGTATATCGTTTAGACACATACACACACATACCTTTCAGCTCACTGTTTAAAACAGCATTTTTGTTTTTATTACTGTGTAATTATTTTAAATTGAATTTCTTCCCCAACCTTCAGCTGCTGTGTCCAATAGAACCCTTTAGTACTGCTTGCATGGCAGAACATTTAATCTGTTAGGGCAGAAGCACAATGAAAAAAATCAACACTTTGACAATGCTGGTATTGAACCAAGCTCCATGAACAAAGATTGGGATATCTGTGAATTTATTTTCCAAACCCAGATGAACACCTATCTGCTGACCCAGTAATAAGCTCTTAAAGGGGACTGCTCACCAGAGAGCTGCTTCTGGTAAAGTAACTCCAAAGCACGGAGACAAGTGTGCACTTCTTGTCAATATAACTTCCTCCTCTAGAAAAAGAAAGCAGATGAGATGATGGGAGTTTTGTACAATAAACTATGGAAGCAATTTTGACAGCAGATTTATTATAAGCCAGTCACTTAAACAGGCAGATAGCTGGAAGTGCTTACAGCTCTGCATTCTGTGGATACGTGGTGTTGGAACAGAGTTTTGTTACACGGCACTCGTACAGCACAACAAAATGGTCTCATGCCCACTTAAAGAGAAAAAAAAAACAGCTTTCTTGAGTCTCTACCCAGCACTTCTATCCTCAAGTCCTTATTCTCTTCTGAAAGAAAAATCATCTTCATAGCTTTTTGCTCCTCATTTATCTACAGCACTATTATGGGCAGCACGTCTTGTTTTTTTATTTTTTAATAAAGGAAAAGTAATTTTGCCAGTCTGCTCCTAGCAATACAGCTTAAATTCACACTGATTTTTCCTCAATCTATTAAAATGTTTTCTTTGTCAGGTTAGGGAATACATCAGAGCACAAGAGATTTACAAGACAAGTTGAGGAACCCTAAAATACAAAATTGGACTCATTTTTACTCAAGCCTTTGTATCCATTGTGCCTGAAGTTGTCAAACCAGAACCAGACTTCCCATTCCTTATTGTTTATAGCGTGCTTATTTCTGCAAAACTACAAACGTCACAACAAATGACCCTAAAAAGCAACATAAAGACACGAGTCTCAGCGCTTACAGTGGTGAGCAAGTTCTTGTTCTGGCAATTTCCTTCCAGGCAGAGAAGATAGATGGTTCATTTGGGAGCACTGAGCAAGCACCGTGCCACAGAGCTATCCAAGTCCAAGGGTTTTCAGCTGAGACCCCTAAAAATTCCCATTAATACTAACTGACCCTCCTGTGTGTGCCAAGGAATGCAGCTGCATGAATATCAAGTCAATCCTGCGCTTCCTCCTTTCTTTCTGCCTTGCCATCTCACAGCGGCTCCAGCTGCCATTTCTCAGCAGCACGGTGCTGCAGCAGAGCCTGCTGGGTCTCGTGGTTGATTTGAGCCCTGGGCTCCCAGCTCCCAGCCCTGCCAGCCCACTCAGGGCACAGCACTCAGCTCTGGGGGTCTGGGAGCTAACATCACAGTTTGCTTTGGAGATGCGGTGGCAAGAAAAATAATGCAAGATAAACTAAATATGTCAGTGCCTTTGTTTCACAAGGAGGGGGGAAAAAAACCCCAAACCTAAACCTAACAGCCTTCTTATTACTAATAACATCAAAAAGCATGAACAAAATAAGTCATTCTCATTTTCAAAGTGTTGCACGAGTACACTTTCCTGGTCACATGGAAGGAGCTGACAGCTTTCAGCACTTCAGCAAACGCTGCTCTGAGATTCTGTAACAGAAGGAAGGAAGCAGCAGCCAGATGAGAAGCATGTGAGGGAACGCATCTATTAGCAAGTACAGGGAGATGTCTTGTTAATAGAAGACAGAAGGAGGGACAAAGCAAGCAGAGAAAGCAGCCAGCAGTTAGTCACTTTTCCATAAAGATATGCTTGGCTAGAGATGAGACACATATCAAGATTGTATTCTGTACTTTCAGAGTCAGTGAAAACCAAAACTGAAAAGCAAACGAACACCAAAAGGCCTCCCTCCAAAACTGAGCTACAGTGAAATCAGGTGAGAGATGCCACCTGACGTGCCAAGTTCTGTCTCTATTCAGCATCCTTGGGAACCCTATGATAATAAAAACAGGGAGAAAATGAAAATTTTACCGACACTGCTTGCATAAGACAGAAACTTCCCATTTCAAAAAATACCTTTTTATTAAAAACCGCTGCTGAAGTTTCTGAATAGCTACTGGTGTCGGTCTAAAGCTTCTCACTTCCAAACCAGGGCAAACTGAAAGGCAGCCAAAGGCCAGCAAGGCACAAATGAGTGGGACTACCAAGCATCAGCTTGGCCATTAAACCCCTTGTCCAGCTCCTTCTGGGAGCAGAAGGGAGGATGAAATGCTGAGCATTGCTATTAGGAATGTAAAGCACGAATAACAACTGCAAAAGTTCCTTTAAAACACAGGGAAATTAATAAAAATTCAGTAATGCTACCTGCAACTCAAATTATAATTTTAATATCAAAATAAGCAAAGTCAGCATTAAAATAAACATTTTTAGAAGATCTTTTGTCCAAAGTAGTATCTATATAAAGTCCTTATCAAGAGTGCTTCCTGCACCCCTTTGCAAGCTGAAAAGGATTACTGCAGTGCCACTGTTTGCTCTGGTTTGATATCCTAGAATGACATTTTGGCACATAAGCAGTTGTGTATACTCAGGTTTAAGAAAAGCATTAGGTAACACAGTTGTTCTAAGCAGTATTTAATATCTGCTCAACTCATCACACTGTCACTCAGCCCAAAGACTGAACACAGAACTTTATTCACAAATCAACACAAATCAAAGCAGAAAAGACAAAGAATAGTTACTCCTTTCCCAACTAATCAATAAATCTAAAATAATAATAATAATACAAAAAAAAATCTCTGAAATGCCATTGGCAAATTTGTATTGAAACTAAGAGAGTCTTTTTCCTAAAATGTGTCCCTTCAAGGAGATGCATAATTTTGCACCTGCATGTTTTCTTCCTTTGCACTTCATAGAGATCGAAGGAAGAAAATAACAAAATTATTCATCATTATTTGCATGAAACTACAACAAAAAACAAGATATTAAAATTCCATTTGTCACACTTTTTTTTTTTCCTCATAAAACCACTTTTCAAAAGTCTATTTTTATGTCTTTTAATAATCTGCCTCTGCCTTGTGTTGGATACGCGACATCGAGCTCAACAGGTGTTTGATTTCATTTCATATAACTATTATTCTCTTCTTAAAACACACCAAGATAGCAAACAACAACGAAATCTGAAAGGGCAAAGAAGTCAGAGAGGAAAAAATAAAGAGGATAAAGGCCCAGCTCAGCACAAACGTGTTTTGACTGTGAACAGTGCTGGAAACGGTGATAAAATATCAGAATATAATTCCAAGACTAGCTAAACTTTGTAACTGAACTTTCACATGGTACCTATCTGCAAAGGCTAGAGAAGAGTGTCATTAAATGAAAAGGAATAATCACCTGCAGATAAAAAAAAGACATCAGTACTGTTATTTGTATTTTATAATAATACAATAATATACAATAATTTGTATATTGCACACTGCGCACAGATTTATACTGCTGCAACGTTTTTTCCCTTGCATTTGATATAGAATCTACAGGTACAGACTTTTCTATGAAAGATTTTTACAACAGCTCTTTCTCTGTCATTAAAGTAATGCTAGGGACTGGAGAAGCCCTGATTTTAAAGCTTCTGAATACAAATCACGACAACCAGCACCACAGTGCTCAGCTTTATTGATGTCAATTGACATCAATACTCAAAACTCAATGGAAAACTCAAAACAAAGGAAAAAAAAAAACCACTGAGCCAAAGTCCTTCATAATATACCTGCGTTTTTCCACAAATACACTACAAACAGCATCTGCTTTTCATCCTGGTGGCTCTGCTACAGCTGCCCTCCTGGCTGCTTTGAGCGATGCCTCACAACTGCAATAAAACATTGCATGGATTCTTGCATTGGCAATCCTTCAATGTTGATATACGTGGGGAACGCCCTGTCCTCTGTCATCTATTCTCAGGTCACATAGAGAACAAATCTAAACTTCTTTTGATTCCTCCATGAGCTTGGGCCTGGGGAGTCCACTGACAAGAGGAACTGTTATTATTACAGCTATGACATTTTTAGTAACATGGTGTTTATACATCAGTGACTCTTGTTCTGTGAAAAAAGCACACAGCTTCCACAGAGATGCTCAGTACAATGAATAATTGCTTAGCACTTCATTTTCTACATAATAATCATTTTCTTATATGTAACTAAATATTTTAAGCAGTTTATTAATTCATAAGCTTAGTCGTGAGCATCTCTGTGTTTTTGGCATCAGCACACAGGCTGCCTGAAGTGTTGATACTCTATGTCCTCAAACAGTTTCTAAGTGTCCTCGTAATTGCTTGTCACCTGTAAAAGAGGTCTAGATCCAATGCAAAATTAACATATGGTGAACAGATGGACTCAGAACAGACATTTGTCAAGAAAGTACTCACACCAAAAATGGCTTGGCTTCTGCCTTTCAGGACCTTCAGAGAAGTCCTTCTTGAAGCTCCGAGTCATACTAAGCAAGGGAACATCATTCCTCAATGACAATTCTGTGTAGCAAAAATTTCTATGACCTGCTACTAAAAAGAATCCTTCCAACTTTTCTGCTCTCAGAGCACTTCCTCTTTCAGGAGGGGAAACAAAACATCGCTCCCACAGAGTATCCCAACCACCCAACAAGAATAATTCACTTGGCACGAAACAAAAACACAAGCACAAAGTTTTTATGACTTCTGACTTTGTAGCGTTATTTATTTTATTAAAAATCCAAAATAATCCCCACCCCACTGTGCAAACTCTTCAAAATACTCATAAGGTTCCATTACTTACTGAGGAGGTAAGACGAGAGTTGTCGGCTGGGCTTTCGGCCGGCGTTTCGCAGATACTCCCATCTGGTTGGCCGAGCGTTTCAAAGACTGCTGATTCAAAAGGCCAGATGCTAGCCCGGCATGGTACTGCAGCTGGGGAAGGAAAAAACATACATTAAAACACAAACCACCGCAGTGCTCTGTGTCAGACTTCTACTGTCTGTATGGCTTGATTAAAAATACAGCCAGCCAGTAAGCTAATGTATGCTATTTCATGTATTGCTTGGATAGAAGATGATACGAACAAAAGCATATAAAAGTCTGCTGTGAAATAGATATTACAAGGAAACTATGCCATTGGGAAAGTAAGATGATGCATCAAAGACTTGAGTAAGTCCTAACTCTCCTGAAACTCGGAGTTGCATTTTAACATTAAGGCTGTTCTCCTCTCGAGGGATCAAGCATCCTTACTTTCCAAAAGAAGGTAATAGGAAGAAAGGTGTGACTTTATCACTGTATAAACTTTTCTTTTTAAAATAATGCTTATCTTTTTTTCCCTAAAACGCAGCATCCACAAAGAAGCCTCTGTCACTCTAAAGAAAAAGCTAGCCTTCAAAATATCAGGCAGCATGTCTTGATAGTGTTACAGCAGAAAGATTCGTATTCAGTAGCTTTCTTCTCTAACCCTTTTATTTTACCTGTCAATAAAAGACAATTCATGAAGGACATATGTGAATTTACAAGTTTCAGCGCTCTCCCACTGCTCACAAATTTGAGAACAGCCACAATGCTGTGCCTGTCCTGAAACCACTTTCCAGTGCAACAGGTTCCAAGTCCACCTCGAGACACTTTCAGCTCAAGCTCCTGGCTCTCCCTTTTGAAAGGGAAGGGGAAAACAGCTCAAGATTCAACATGAGACAAACACAATCCTCTTCTTCAGCCAGTCTCTACATCAACATTTTCATCAAACCATCTACAGAATTGTGCTGCTAACAGTGAACTACTGAACAAGTTACCAACACTGATCCCACGACCCACATACAAAAAGATGTACGGTTATGTACAGAAATGATGTCTTACAACATTCAGAACATCAAGCAGCTTTAGGTAGGGTACTGACTGAATCCATGGGAAGCAAAATCTACTGGAAGGTGGCTGTTAACATGAGCAAAGCCACCCAGCCAGCCAATCAGACCCAAATGGCAACGCCTGGAGAAAATGGAGTGCCTTGACATGGCCCTGACTTCCCTGGCACATGCTGTGAGCAGTGGCACAGCACCAAGCACCGCCTTAACAACTCCTCTGAGCCCCATGGATTTTGCTCAGATTTGTTGTTCTACAGATTTCTGAAATGAAAAAATCAATGAGAGCAATGGGCAGTAATCGTTCAACAGGCAATGTATCGAGGTGTCAGGGGCTCAGCTTTCAATCTTCACTCCCAGAACTTGCAGGGAGTGCAATATGTCGGGAATTAAAGGGAAAGACAGCTCTGGCAGAAGACCCTCTGACTCCAGGAACGCACCTTTCCCTCTTGCACCCTACAGCAAGCTGCTCTCCTTCAGCCATTTTGTGCTGTTGACACCATCAGTTCACTGCACAGAACGACAGTGACACATATCTCCAGTAAATAACATCATTCGGCCACTTGCTCCAAGACAGAGGTAATCGCAGGTGTTAATCAGAAATGAATTTTAAATACAACCTTTTGAAGAGGTTTCATAACCTAACTGGCCAGCCTGACATTTAGTGGGCAGACGTAAGGAAAGTAGGAAGTAAAAATAAATAGATCCTAAGAAACAATTCTGTCCTTGAAGGCTTGCTCCCAGTGGTAAAGCTATTTTTATTAATTATAAGTATTTGTACATAATCTACCTTCGCTTCCAGGAATGCAGATCCAACTGTCAAAATCTATAATGGCCCATTAAATATTTACCAAACCATCCTTATAATGGGAGAAAAGGTCAAAGTTAATAAAACTGACAGGCGGTCCTGTCCAGCTTGATTTATGCATTATTAAAGCATCACAGGCTGCACTGCACAGAACACACTCCTTTTTGGGGGGCAGAGGGGTGTCAACTGAAAAGATGGGGAAATCCTTTCTTAATCATTTCTTCTGAGCAGGATAAATAAGACTGAAAGCAGCAGTCAAGCAATAAGCCAAAGCAACATCAGCAGCATCAGAAATCCAGGTAGGTGAACTGCACATCTCTGAGAGCCCAGGACTCAGCTGGGGACCGCAGCATGGTGTCTGCGGATGGGCACGAAAGCCTTCTGCTGCTGTGTTCCCAATGACCTCCCATCTGCTTTTGACTACTGTGTTCATTTAAACAAGCAGACTGGTAAACAGCAAGATCTCTGTCCATAACACAGCTGAACACGTAGTGAACCTGAATACTGGTGCGGCACTGGGTGTACGGGATGCCATTTCTTGGTCAGCCACCGAGGCATTTCCTCATCATTCAGAGGCTTCATTACAGCACGCCTCCATGTCTCTCGGCTGTTGGGAATCCCAGCTGGTTAACAAGAAGCTGGACTCTTTTCTTCATTATGAAATACTCCTCTAAAATATCAGCAACATTGATTCTTTTTCCCCCAATACACACAAATGAAACAAAATCTATTTTGGAAAACTAAAAACCAACAACGAGAAAAATCAATATACAGCAGTTAGCAGCCAGGATACACATCAGTGCCAACTCGTACAGTTTCACAAGAGCTGATATTTTCCTTAAAACTGTGGTTTCAAATGTGCAAATCCCACATCTTAAAACCAAGAGAGGCTCTCGTTCTCAAGGCTGCTGGAGAACTACTGAAAGCAATACTTCAATACACAGAAAAGCTTTACCTGGAGGAAGATAACACAGAACATGGATTATTTTTAATTTTCCTAAAAGAAATGATTCTCACTAATGTTTTACAGGTGCCAAAGTGTACGTTTTCAGTGTTTGAGAACGTGAAACCTGAATTCATATAGGAACGTTGCTCAATCTTCCTGACAAAAGTAAAATGCATCTCAACAAGTCAGCACTTTGGAGTCTCTTCTCAATGCTGCAATTCCTTCATTCACTCAACACACCTTTATTTTTAATGTGAGCTATTTAAAGAGAGAAGGTTTATTAGAGAAATACAGATTGGATGGAGTTTCACAGGCACTAATAGTTTTTAAGTTAATCATGTCATACCTCTTCATTGTGTCCCAATGGCTCTTTTCACACCAGAAACAACACAATCCACTGCCTACAACAACTCAAACAAACAAAAAAAAAAACCAAGACAAGAACCTCTCTATTCCTCTGGAAGACAGCACTGCCTTCTGCAGATCACGGTTAAGATTTGGAGTTGGCAGCACTCATGCTGCAGCCCACGTGGCAGCCGAGGGGCTCAAAGCACAATGATGCATTCAGCTCCTATCATTCAAGCAGATCAAACTGACATCACCTTGATGGAGTATATACGTTTTGGTGTGCAGGTTTACTTGTTGTATGTTATGGAAGTACATACATACACAGAGTTAATTCAAAGCTTTTGAAGTTAAAGCTTCACCATTAGAATCATGCTGGGCCTGAAGGCCTTTGCTTACATAGTTCATGGGTTGCCAACTTCACCCTAACCCTGACCAACCAAGCCATTGCACTCTGCTAACTTACAAGGCCAAGTAAAGGTGCAGAAATTAGGAGGGTGGGTGGGTTATTATAACCTGAAGCACTGACCATATAGACTCCCATACACAATCCATTACTCAAAGCTTTCTAAGCACCAGTTGGTCTGTTTTAAGAGATGGAATCAGAAGAATGACTTCTGTGATTGCATTCCCCGCAGTGACATTTCTTTCAGACCTTCCCATATTTAAGATACAAACCACACACATACGTGAGAAAAGTCTTTTATATCTGTATCTACATATGTAAGAGAAATAAAATTTGCATCTCTTGGAGCAATTGGGTTTCATAGAAGTGCCTGACAGACAGTTATCAAAGAATTTTCACTGCAATACTAGCAAATGCATGCACGTTTGTTTCCTTTTGAGTTGCATGGTACTTTGCCCCCCATCATTATATTATTTCTCCCTTGCAGCTAACAAGGGATTTGTCTGTTATGATAAAACTCTGGCTGTTCTTTTGAAAAGAGCGATCATCAGGCAGCCAGGACACTCCCACAGTTTCATCTCTGCACACTGAAGTAAGCAAAAGAGGAATTGCACTACCTTAATTGTTATTTTTAAGCTCGTCTCAGATAATGAGGCCAGTTTAGAAATTCTCTTTTTTTCCCCAAACAATGTTTGATCATTTTAGAATAGCTGAATTCTCAGCTTGGCCATAACAGCATCAATAAACCAAAAGAGCAGAGTTTCCAATTTATTTACTCATTGGTTTTCCTCTTGTTGAACTGGGTTGCAGGCTGTTCAATTAATAAGAAAGCTAGATGTTGTGCTTTTGCTCTGCTTTACAACTTAATTAGGACACTTTGTTCTATTATTTTTAAACATTTATCCCTCCATCACTTCCCAGTTTATGAGATTATTTAAACAACAAATATCTATCCATTAAGGGAACAAGGCCTACCCCCATTTCATTCTTTTTTTTCCAAATCCCACTACAAAAGTTATTCCATCCTTTCCTGACCTCCCTGATCTAACTACAGAGTGAAACTAATGAGCTCACACTTCTGTTAAAAGCCTCTTGCATGCAGCTGATCTTATTTACATTGCATTGGGATGCACATTGCCAGTGCTGGTCAACAACCATCGGTGGGCAGCGCTCTGCAGACACGACCTTGCTTTTCCTTAGGTTTCTCCTCCCAGGGCTGGGAATTGAAGAACAAGTTCACACATGTATATACTTGATAAAACAGGAGGAAAAGCATCGATACGTTTCCCCGTTGGCCTTAATGCTTTGCCTTCCCTATGTCTTTTATCCTATTGTCTTCGGATTCATACTTTTGCTGAAAGCGCTGTTTTAATTAGCATTAGATTTCAGCCTTAAATTGCGTTCATCCTACACTTTTCTTCCAAAAACATTGAAGTTCTGCTGATGAATGACTGCATCAACATCCCCTCATTCCAATACTGCTTGCAAGTCTTTGGCTTTTAACTATGCAGAGATTGCAAATCTGGCACTTCCAAGGAATTGGTCAAAACTTCAGCATCTGCATCC